TGAATGTGGGGGGTGTAAGGGAAAATCTAAATGATATGCGCATAAAAAGTAACTCGTTGCTGTTGAAATTATTTTTTTTTCTTTTTTTAAAAGTTATTTGTTCTTAGTTGTTTTTTTTTTTTCTAATTTAGTTTTTTTTTTCTGTTTAAAAAATAAACATTCTAACATATACAAGAAATGTTATTAAATTTACATACTATAAACAATTTTACAAACATATTCGCTCTTCTCTAAGTGTTTTTTTTTTTGTTAATCTTTAATAATACTAAAAACTAATTTGTGTAGCATTTGATAACTGCGTGTAAGATTCTTTATTGTTTTTGTTTTGTTTTCAATTTTTTTGTAAAATATTTTACTAAATACAAATTAAAAGATTAAAAAATTAAAATTATTACAAAGGGGTTTCATTGTATTCTTTTGTGAGGTTGTTATGATAAAAAAAAGAAAATTAAAGTGTGATTTTTTTTTATATTCAAGGATACAGTTTTTTGAAATATTGTGTCTTTAGAAGTTTTTTCAAATATATATTTTTTTGAAGTTTATTCAAAGACATGTTAAAAAAAAATATATAGATAGATAATATTTCAAAAGTAAATTTTTTATATTTTATTAGATTTAGTTAATTTTGAAAAGTCTAATAAAACAATAGTCAAGTTTGTTTATTGTTGTGATATTATTTCAATTAAAATCGACTGATTATGGCCTGGGCGCCAAACCAATCAATTTCTGGTATTGTATAGAGAAACCTTGCAGACGATCCCTACAACATTATCTCCAAACGTTGAAAGTATCTTTTTTTGACATTAGTCCTATTTTTTTTATTTTATGCTTTGAGGTCTATTGACTTCCTAAGACACTGAGATACTGAAATGTTTAATAGCAACTGATTTGGTTGGAAATTGGGGCCTATAGGTGGGGGGATATACCAAGAATAGCATCAACATTGAATATTTTTTTGGCGAGAACTTAAACTATTCACTGAAAACCCGAAATTGTGACTAAGACCTTAGAAAGGGGACTATCCCAAACATGGATCTGCATGAATTAATTTTTTTTTTTTTTTGGAATTAAAATGGCCAATTACAATGCGAAATGTCAAATATTGAATATTTTGGCGAGAACTTAAGCTATTTTCTGGGAACCCGAAATTGTGACTAAAATCTTGGAAAGGGGACTACACAAAACGTGGATCTGCATGAAATATTTTTTGTAGAATTAAAATGCCCAATAACAACCCGAAATGTCAAATTACAGATAGTTGGAACCCCTACCAAATATCTTAGGAGTATGATAAACATCGATGCCAAATTTCATTAATTTATCTTCAAAATTTTAAGCTTTAGCTATGTTGATTTTAATGGACCAAAATCGTTAAATCGCTTCAAAATGTCATGGTGAAGTGGATTTAAATAGGACTTAAACGATTGGAAATTTAAATCGAAACCCTCAAAACACCGAAAATCAAGAGGTATAGAGGCTCTACCAAAATGCGAACCAATCTTAGTTTTTTGAACGGCTAATATGATCACTCCAGAAATTGTTGGACAGGTCCATGGGAATGAGTAACAAGGTATTGTAGAGGAACAAGACTAAACTTTCTTTACGAGGGTTTGAGGAAACTAATATGTTCAATTGATGAACCCAGTGTATTCCAGTAAAAATCTTTAAAATTTAGATTTTTGGAAAAGGATCTACAGCTCAGATAAACATGATTATTCTAAACAGATAGTTTACCTTTAGAACTATCAAGGCCTTTCCAGCCAAACATAAATTATGTCGGGTACCGAGAGAGTGTCTACATGGATACCCGTTTATGGGTTCTTGTCAAAAAAGATAAGTACAGACGAAGAAGTCAAATCTGGATTCACTTCAAAAAACCGTGAGGAAGAGTATTTTAGAACGCTGCCAGGAGTCTGAACTTAAAGAATCATAACATGTAGAAGTAGTATTGGAACAACTAGCATTCAAAGTATACCTGACCATGCATACAACCTCAAACCCTGCTAGACGTCTAAAACCCCAACGAATAATAATTACTGCAGTTACGGTGAAAAGGAGGGAAAGGATGAATCGGTTAAACATCTGAACATCTGAAATGAAGGAGGACTGCGTTAAAATAACTTGATAAGTTCTGTCGGCGGGCGCCTTATTGAAAAAATTGATAGGTTCTTAGTAAGCCAACCATTGTTGTGCTTTATCTCCATTTTTCCATCTAATCGACAAAGCAGCTAGTTCCAATGGCGTAGTGAAATCAAATGTATTTTACTTGGTCGGTTCGCCGAGCGCAAAGCTTTTTCTCCATCTTCCCTGCCACACAATGACCATGAATGAAAACGGGAAGAGGGCATTATGGTTGGCTGTGTAACATTTTTGAGAAATAAAAACGGTTGATACGTCAGTGCCCCTTTAATGCCATTTCTTCCCTAATTCCTTTACTACGGCTTTGGTAATTTTTTCAAAATCCTTAAGGGGCTATTAAAAACCCCACTTCTTAACAAAATATAATTCAGTTTTGCAGTCTTAGCTGACCTCTGCATTTCGTTTCTACTGCTTGGGTAAAATATTGCAAAGCCCTTGGGGTAATATGTCCAAAGACATATAAGTATAAAGATGGGACAAGACAGAGTCAAAATATTGTCACCAGGTATAAATACCTCTGTTGTTATGATATGATATTGAAACTAAAATTTTGGAATATTCAAACTTTTATTTCTCATTCTTTTCTATGATTGTGTTTTTTATAATAACATGCCACTGACATGAGCTGTTATTCTAGATAATCTAGACACAAACCATTTGTTCAGAATGTATTTTGTCTAGTCTTTACCATTTTAGGTCTTTTCTATGATCTTACCTGATGTTTGATGGTATATCCATGAGTTCAACTCTTCTTACTATCAATTTCTTTGTCATTGCCTACTCCTTTATCTCTTTTTGAAGGCCTATATAAGGTTGGCTAGTAAGTCCATCTGACAAAAACATAATTCAAAGATAGACAAATCACAATAGTGTAAGATCTACTCAGTTTATTGTCAAATTGTTGTCCGAAGTAGTCTTCTCAGCCGACTTTTTATAGGCCATGATCTATTTCATCCTCTCTGGGGATTGAAAATCCAAATAAGGGTGAATGTAATTTGAATTTGACGTTATATGTGTTCTTTTAGCAAATAACCAAGGCCTACATAAGATCGAACAAGTAGACTACTTCTGACAACAGTTTGAAAATGAACTTAGTAGATTTTGCACTATTGTTATTTGACTTTCTTTGAATTTCAAATCACAATTATGCTTTCGACAGTAAACTTAGTTATAAGATGGGCTTACTGATTTTTGACCTTATGGACTTAGTTATGAAAATATTACAAAAATCTAAATTATCTATTGGTTTGTTGACAGTTATATAGCCTAAGAATATGGTGGATCATTGGAAAATTTTGATCTTTTAGAGGAGGTTATAAAACAATTTTGACATCTGATCATATATTGGCAGGAAAACAGAGATATTCGAAGTTTAAAAAAAAATCCCTTTCTGGGGAAGGTTGCATAAGGAGTGGACAGACTGATCTATTGTATCTTCGTTTTACATATGGTACTGCCAGAAATATATAAATTTTATCAGATACTGTCCATATTTCAATCAAACCTAGGGATCTGATAAAATTGTTGCTAAGTGGCAAGTTTGAACGAAATTTGATTCTATGAAATACTCAATTTTTAAAAATTTTTAGAATTAACTTGATCTATTTTGACAAAAAAAAAATACTAGTTTGTGTAAAGTTTGAACTCTCCAACTTGGTTCAAACTTTACAAATTCCACCCCTCCCAGATTTATTGTTTACGCACGGCCAGAGAGATAGAGAGGCATTATGGCCACATCAAATTATATATATATCCTATGGCTGAGGGCGAAATTTTTAAAAATTGAAAATTTGTATGCAAAAGGCCGGAAAATTCCCTTCTGCCAGAGAGAAGCCAAAAACTCCGAACAGAAGATGAGATTTTTATCTTTAAATGTAGCTTGATTTTGAGGTTTCTGCCCAACAGTGAAGCTTTTATGTTGACATATTTTATTGCTACAATAAAAATTGCGAGTATATAAATCATTTCAATAATTATTTTGAACGAAAATTTCTACATAATTCGAAATCACAATCTCATATCCAAGCAAAATAAATTATCGAATTTTTCCAAAACATAAAAACCTACATAATCATTACGGAATTTTCATACGGACCAATATAAATCCTTCTCAATGTCAAATATTCTAGAAGAAATGTGGAGTTTTTTCGACAAAATTTCAATATCCTATTTAAAATACAACACAATTTAACTTAAAATATACAAGTTTTTGAATTTTACAATGCTTGTTTTGTTAAACAGAAATACTTGCTTAAGATTAAAACAAAAAATCTTATTTTATAAAAAAAATAATAGTTTTTATGATTTTCAAAAATTTTTTATTGCAAATTTAAATAAAATTTGTAGACAATTTTTTGTTATATTATTACCAAGGATAAAAATTGACAAATTTCAATTTTTTCACAATTAAATGTGTTTATTATTGAACAATATTTAATATTGACTATTGAACGTTTTGGAGGTAATTTAAAAAAAATTAGAAAAATATGATGTACATTTTTATAATTATTAAAAAAAAAAATTATCAATTTTAACATTTTTATATTTTATTTTTATTTTTTAAAATCAAACAATTTGGCTTTTATTTTCATTAGTTAAAAAACATAAATTGTCAAATTAAAAGTTTTTATGTCTAAAAGGTTTTTTATTATCAAAAAAATATTAAAAATTTACTATTAAACATTATGGATCATTTCTTTTTTCTATCAAAATTAAGTAAAAATCAAAATTACATTTACAAAAAGCGTCCTTGAAGATTTAAAAAAATCACATTTAATTTTCTTTTTTTTTAATTAATTAAATTATTTGCATTAATTACTGATCTCTTTAATTTACTTTTTTGTGATAGGAGGTTTGTTCAATTATTTTTTGTTAATTTCTTTTATCATCAACTTCCTTCCGTTTGCTAAACAACATCAGTTTTCATATTCTATACACAATGTAACTACATTCCGAACAAAATTTTACAAAATTTTCTGCTAAGTATTGGACCGCTCTTATACACATTGTTTTTTCTTCTTCTTTTACTCTAAACAAAAAAATTTAAAAATTTATATTTAACACTTTTCGTTACAACTTTCCTTGAGTTTCAAAACTATGCCTTCTCCTCATTTCATCACTTCAGTAAAACATTTCATATTTGAAGAAATTCCGCGATTTGCGGGAACCCATCAGTAATTGTTTTTGCTCTTGTCTTTCCAAATTACCATCTTCATCCTCATCATCTTCTTCGTCGTCGTAATAGTAGTGGTCATCAAATGCATTCAATTCAGAATCCAACTCATTATCATTATCGGTATTGGCAAAATCTGAATCCAGATCTTCCAGGTTATCATCGTCAGCATCATCGGGTAGTTCTTCAATTCCATCAAAGGCCGCCATCATCATCATTACGTTCCGTTGTTCCGCCTCATGATCCTTTTTTACTCAAATAATACTTTCGTCATTGTTACGCGTCAGGCGTATTGTGGTGGTGGTGGAAGTGGTGGCCGAACTGCCCTCACCATCACTGCCACTGCCGGCGGCCCTTGTTGGAGTACGTCGGTTCGTTGGATCATTGGATACTGTTGTGGTCACCACAATATTCTCATCGTCATACAAATCGAAATCTTCATCATTGTCATCGTCATAGTCCGATGTGGATGTGGACAGCAGGGCTGTGGTGACTTGACTCTTTTTATTGCTGCTCATGGCCGAACTGCTGGCCGAGCCACCTGCTGCCCCGCCAGCCCCATGATGTGCCCCCATACCCCGCCTAATTTGGGCACGGGGCGTCAGCCGTGACAGCAATGGCTCCCGGCCACTGCGCAGTAACTTTTCACTATTCGTACTGGCATGATCGGCCCTCTCCGCCTCGCTCAACATTGCCTCCCATTCCTCGCCGGCCGGCTCACACAACGACTTGGAGTATCCATGGTGATAAGATTCCTCGGGGATAGTGTCT